TATAACACTAGAGACTATATACGAAATAAAAACATATAGATAAACGGATAAGCTTCTTAGCCAAAATAATTTTGATATTATAATAGCTAAAAAAAGTTGATGATCTAGGACCCTGAAAAATAATTACTTTAAAAAAAAATGAACATTTATATGTTAATTTAAGTTAACATTATTTAATTATTGAAGAACTAAAAAAATACAAAAAAAAAATGTTATTAGAATGTGGAAAATGAGATGAGTTATACAATTTGATTTTCAGGCTATGTTCAACAGCTTGGGGCTAGTAGTGATTCTTATTACTTTTAGTCATAATAATTTGTACGACCTATGACATTACCGACTCCACTTAGTCACCATTTTTACTAAAAATTCTAGGGACTAAATTTTCATTGCAAAAGTATAATCATTCTATTATACACTTATATTTTACATAACTGATCATATTGTGTAATGCTTATACTTTCCAGGCAAATTACTTCAATAGGCACGATGTAGCTTTAACGGGATTTCACAACCGTTTCCTGAGACATTATCGCGAAGAATTTAACCACGCCGATGGTCTGTTGGAGTTCTTACAAAAAAGAGGTGGTAAACCCGAGCTATTCGATGTGGAAAAACCGCCAAACGATTGGGACGGCGTTGAACACATTGTAAAATCGGCGTTGGAGCTAGAAAAAAATAACTACGATGTAAATGAGAATATGATCATTAATATACGATTAAAAAAAATAATAATAATACCTAATGTTATTCGTAGGCACTCTACAAGATAAACGAATTGGCTCAAGAACACAAAGACGCGTCAACCAGTGAATTCATAGAGTCTGTTTACTTGACAGAACAAGTGGAGGATCAAAAAGACTTGGCCGATTTACTTACCAAAGTGCGGTACGCGATTGAGTCGAAAACAATACATTTGCTTGACTATAACGTTGGCAAAATCGAAGCGAAAGAGTTTAAAAAATAAATTGTTTACCTAGTAAAAATTATACAATATTTTGAAAAGTAAACAATGTTTTTGTTTTTGTCGAACAATTGCGGTGGTGATTTGTTTTTAACTAACACTGATAAAACCTGGAAGTTTATGCTCAAGTAAAGAGCAAGCACATGTCGTTTCGGTTGATATTAGAATAATACTCGAAATAAGCATGCACTTATATATGCGCTGAAAATGTCTTTCTATTTTATGTAATAATAGAATCTATGTAATGGGTTGGCTCTGGAACCACTTACCCGATTGACATGGAGTTTTTTATATTTATAGGACATATCGCGTCGTAGAGTTGGTTTAACCGTAGTTTAAAGTCATACAACTTTAAAAAAGTACAATAACTAGCTATTCGGATGGCATTCGAACTTAGACGTCATACATGCCGAAGAACTGCTCTCTCCAGTTTACTTGATTAACTACAAATAAGCATTTTCGCATCTTTTTAACTATAAACACACCCCACTGTTGTCATAATAATGATGTTGCAATTGTATTTATTTACCTGGACAAAGCCGGGTACACGGGGCAAGGGCAGCTAGTTTATCTATATATGAACTAAAAAAACAAATTATAGATATAAATATAATAAAATATAATAAGTGTCTTATCTAGCTATTTTTTAATTAATTCAGTAACGACATACAAATGCATAAACTTAACAAACGCATTATGAAAACATTTTTGTTTTTTTATATACTTTACCTCCGACTATTTCACTAAACCCTACTAAACATTCCCTATGTCTAAAGACAGTGAAAATTATAAATATTTTATAGTAAGACGTATTAAGGTGGCGGTGTTTCTGTTTTTTTTTAACGGAAGTTTATTTACGAGCACATCCAACTACGGATTTTGTTGACTATGGTTACCATACAGATTCGGTAGATCAAGTTTAGCGTTCTAATAATTTTGATATTGGAATTGTCTGCAGGGATTTTAACCTGCCTAATGTAAAGTGGGCTAATAGTGTTTCTGATTTGGAGTACAATGGATCTATTACTGATAAGGTTCGGTTAATTGGTGATCAGTGTGTTTTGCTTAACTTTGGTCAAATTAATAATACAGCTAACAGAAACGATTCTTTTCTCGATCTTGTTTTTTTGAAGTAGTGAGTCAGTTTATGTTGATCAATCTTTTGGCCCTTTTGTACCATGCCACTAGTATAAACTAGCATTTTCTATATCTTTCTATAACTTCAGCTGTTCCTATGTTTAATCTTCAACATAAGTTTCGCGATTTTAATAATGCGAACTATGAAGGAATTATCGGGAGATTAATTATTTAATGGTTTTAAGTTATAATTGTAGGCAAGTAATTTTTAATAATACCCCATCTCACAAATTTTAAATATTTATTAATCATTTAATAATTTGTTGTATTTTATTATATTCCAGGTAAAAATGTACTGACAAATCGTTCTGAATAAATACATACTTAATAAAACTAGCTAAGAATATTGGAGTTTAGGAAATTCGTGTAAGCACATAATTGTTTTATCAGCTTGTATTCAAAATGTTTCATTTCAACGCAGAAAAATGATAGCTGAAAACAGATTCCATGTGCCAAATAGGTACATAATATTAATTATATTCAATACTATCCATATTTTATAGCATCAATTATTGCTCAAAGAGCAATTGTGTGGTAGCGGAACCCGACCTTGTAATGTTCAAAATGGTCTATACCGTACCATATTGATTGTATGTCTCTCGCTGGCCCAAATGACGATGTTTTTAAAAAGCGAATTGTTTCATGGATATGTACTATTTGCGAGTGTACCAGACTAGGAACTAGAAAATCTCTGTCAACTCAATCAATTTCCGCCAATTATACATCTTTTGATTCCGATTACGTTTTTAAATTAATAACATACTTTTGGTATTAAATAAAATTTTAAAAAAATCGGTTAATAAATCTTCATTTTCGGAATTTAATAAATTATAAATTTAATAATTTAATATAAAATGTATGTTTATCTGACTATGACTTTATCGTTTTATGTGAAACTTGGTAATCAAAGCCTTAATTATTATTATAACTGAATGTCATGTCATTTATTGACCATTGAAATACATAATTATAGATTTCGAGGTAATGCCGCTAAATAAACAAGAAATTGTCCTGGTATCAGGAACCATTTCCCGATTATTGGATAAATATAAAATTTAAAAACTCAGCGGAACTAGATAGGTTAAGACGGCATGCAAGTAGACAAGTACCAACACAAAAATTATATAATTTTCTTGAGCAACTTGACGAAAGTTTAAATTGTCCATTCAATAAACTTACATCTAATTTTTTGCAATCATATCTTCACAGTAACCGTGAACTATAATTATTTTATGGGGAGGAAGCCAAGATTATAAAATTTTTCAAATGTTAGGAATAACTCAATATATTACTCTAAATTTACAGGCCTATGATATACACAATGATCATAGATTTTATTTAAGACTACTCGATATAACAGATAAAATAAAACAAATTTGTAAGACTTATATCATATAGTCTCACATCAATAATGGTCGGTTACTTAATTTATCAGAAAAACATGTTTTACTATGTGACACTCGTCATGAAGATGTCACTAAACCACATGATCCAATTACAGATCTTATTTTTACAAAATGTATGTTTAATTTTCTAATAAGACGCTTAAACGACAAAGAATTAGAAAGACGCATTTCCATTAACTATTAATTGTTGTACTTTCTGTTATCTGATTTCTTGTAAATTCCAGGCATCTCTTTTTCTCTGGAAACAACAGTTATGTCATTACACATATTCAACGACACGGCCCTACCTGAGTCATCGGAAGTCTTTTTCGAAAATCGAGGACCTATAAAAATTCAAACAACTCACTGGAACTTAATAACTTATGTAAATTTGTCTAGTTTTAATCATAATTTTAGCGAACACATTGTTAAGACGTGTCAGCTATTTCCAAACGCAAGTCACACTTTATACAATCGCTGTATGACTATTGCTGATTCTATGAATACTACTAGTTCCCAAATCCAACGTGAAAGCGATGTCATTTATCGTTCGATAGGGAAACACAGACACACACGATCTATCTTAACGAATTCTTTAACTACATTAGCTACTGTCCTTTTTTTTTTTGGTTAATTTAATTCAAAATGTGTGTCTAATCAAGATTATTATATTAATGTTTTGCGCGAAGAAAATGTTAAACAACGTACATTTATTAAACAACAAACAAAAATTATCCAATCCGTTCAACAATTACACTCTAATTTTACACAATTAATCACAGAGATCAATTAATAATAATAGTAAATTAGCTGATGCCTGATATAATGTTCATTTTTGATATTTTAAATGGTTTCGTTATCTACCCTGAGATCTTAGCTTCAATTAATTTCCGTATTCCTTATAAACATACTCGTAATACAGATTTATTTATTATCCAGTTTTATAAAACACTGGTATATACTCATTCCTCCCTAAAGCTCTTATTTTATCCAATACTATTTCTACAACACTTGACTTTTTTAATATGTCAGCCTTTCAAAATTAACGCTTTAACTTTAATTAATAATTTATATATTTCATTAATCTCGAATATATTAATAAGTAATTAATTTATATAACGTTTTAAATTATAGTTATCTAATCTATATTATCATCATTATATATTTTTATTTTTTATTAATGTTATGTTAATTTATTTATTTGTTATATTTAAGGTAACCTTGTAATTTTTCAATAGTTTTCCGTTGAATTTATAATAAATAAATAATCCAAAAATTGACGAAAATGACATCTGAAAATGAGCTTCTGCCATCACGCCACAGATATGCATTACACAGACACAGAAAAATAAATAAATAACCAATTTGATAATTTATTACTGGCTTGTATTCAACTATACTATGTAGTTTGCGTTTATAGCAACAACGAGTAATTTAATAAGATTTATTTCATAATTCTAACTGTCAACTTTCGAAATTTCGAAGAATATAATTTTGTATATCCTCGTATAGCAATGGCTACGGACTATGCAGCAGATTTTACCGAGATGGTGGAAGTGGCCAAAACGATGATTCCGCTTTTACGTGACATGGATGGTAATACATTATTTTAAACTAACACAAGAAAATCTTGATATTATATATATATATAATCAAATACTAGCTAGATTTTTTTTTTCTGAATTGTTTAATTTTCAGTTGACTTAATTTTTAGCTTCGATGCTGAGACGAGAAGGTATTATTTTTACAATGATGTGTTTTTTTAGTGTCTAGTCCCACGATATCTTCTTAATCGATTCTTCGTGTAGCAACTTTATAGAATAGAAATCGTACCTGAAAGATACTTTATTAGGGCCAAGAATTTTTAAAAGTTAATTTTTTCCCTACCAAAATTAATAAAAAATACTTACTTTAAAAAATGTACAACAAAATTACATATTCTTAAACTTAAAATCACGGCATTCTATTGCTTTTTTGAAAATAGTCCAGTTATTTTTAATATTCTTTAGACATAGTACCACCGATAAACGTTGACAAACCATAAAATCATAAACCTTTTTCCCTAAAAGCATGAAAACTTTTTCTTAGTTTTAGTTCCGAAGTTTGCCCAAAAAAAATTCTAGTGTGGGACAACATTTTTTAAACATCTGTAAACAGTGTTTATTTTATTAAGGGAAAATTTGGCAAACAATAAACATACAGGTCTGAGTGCATGGTTACTTCCTAAGTAACCATATGCAAAAGACCTCACTGTATTGGCTTTTTTTGATTTTGGGTCCAACAGAACGCGCAATATGCGAAAAGTGGATATCAAGAGCCAAATCATTGCAGGGTAGAGACCTGAACGTACTGAAACACCGAAATAATTTTATGAAGTATTTTTTAGAACTCATGAAACAGGCAATCGCCGATTCTGGTGAAACGCCAGCATGTTGTTCGTGGGGTGTGAGTTTTAAAATTTTAAATTAAAAAATATTATGTAATTATTATAAGTAAACGTTTTCACGCAGAAACCGGAACCAGGTGTGTTCGACAAACAGCCGCCACCGCCTAAGCCGTTGCCTTATCAGTGCCATTGGACTCCGGATAAAAGGACATACGTGGCCATCCAGCCTTTGCCTAACCGCGGTGCCATGGTGTACATGGCTGTAGCCGAGAAACCGGAATTGGGCTGGGAGTTTCCAAATGAAAAATTATGATTTTATTAAGGAAATAATCATAACAAATAACGTTGAGTTTTAATTATATAACACGAAACTGGAAGAAAACATTTTAAATAAAACCGCCAATGCAATATATAACCCGAGTCCTTATTCAAAAGTCGAATTAATAAATTGTCTCGTTTGTATAATAATATATGCATTGGTAGTATATAGAATATCTGAATAATACAAAATCACACAATACGTGTGCCGTAAAAAATATAATACGATTGTTCGCGTCGATAACGCTCAAACAGCAGTCAGGCAATGATAGTGAATGCCGTGTGGCATTATACGACTCGCGTTAGATAATCAGGGTTGCCAGATTGTGTGGTTTCTCGCCAATTGGGCTATTTTTAGTTTCTAAATGGGTGGTTGTGGGCTAGATACCAATAATAACTACCTACGTTTAAAAATGCATTAAATTTTCAAAAAAAATTATTTTCTTAAACAAGTTGTGGTTGACATTGCCAATGCGTTTCTGCTAGTAGCCCTCAACTCTTTATTTTGTATTGAGCTGATCACACTAGCGGATCATCGGTTGCGGTTGATTGTCATTTAAATTATTTATTTATTTATATTTTAAAATGTATTTGTTTTAATTTGTAATTATTATTTATAATTATTTAAATTTTAAAATTGACATGATAAATTATAAATAACTATGTCATATTCTACCGAAAAATTAATTATTGAAATCCAAAACTACCCTTTTCTATGGGACATGAGTTCCAAAGACTACAGCGATAGGGACTTGAAACATACATGTTGGATGAAGGTAGCTAGCGGAGGAAGTTTATTCTTCAAAATGGAATGATTTTGAAACGAGCAAAAAAGAAGAAAAAGGCATGACTTACATTAATATACATGTATGATACCAGATACCTACATATTAAATATATATCAATAAAATTAGATATTATGTAGATTGTAGGTAATATGTTTTATAAATAAGTATGTTAGCATTCAAAATAAATGCAATAATCACAAAGTACATATTATTATTTCATCATGTATTTAAGATATATTATATAACATGTTATAGTCTTATTAGTGTAAAGACAGTAGACTAACATCGTGTATAATTTCTCATTTAATCTTTATCTGTCATTGTATTATCTGGTTACCATTGTATTTCTATGTATATTTATTGTACCGCATAAATATGTAATGAGAACAAGGAAAAAGGGTCAGTGTTGTCCGAGCGATGTTGTTCTATAGGCAGTATATCGTTTAACGTATTAAAATTTCCATTTTAGTCAGTCATTTAATTAAAGTGTTTTATATATTTATTATACATCCTCAAGTAAAGGTCTAACAGCTTAGATTCACGTTACTACATAAATAAGTAACTTTTATACATCTTAATTTATTCACACAATAGTTTTAACATAACAAAATAATAAATATTATGTCAAGACAATTAATTTAAAAGGTAATATTTAGGAAAATCATTTAATATAAAAATAATGACATTGCCTTCAAAATCAAAACACTAGCGGAGGGATAAATTTAAAATTTTTAAAAATAATTATCCTGTTAAAATTGTTGAAAAAAAAAATATAATCTTATGATTTTATTTTATTTTTTTTTTTTGACGTCACAATAACAAAATAGAAAATCTTACGTGACAAATCGTGACGAAGAACTAACATTTGCTTTGGAATTTGAACATTTATTCGATATTGTTAACGAGGAAACGATAGAGAAAATAGACCAACAATGCCAAGAATTTTTGAAAAACCAAAGTCTAAATACACGTTTGAGATTTATCAGTGATATAGAGAAATATTTTAAAGGAGTAGATGAAGAAAAGAAAAAAAGAAGAACTGATGGCTCAGACGTTAATGAAAAGCCAAATCGGACTTAATTTATAATTGGGTAAGATATAATTTTATAGTATTTAAAATAATTGTATAAATAAAATTACGCATGTAATAGCTATAATTTCATTCAATTATAATTATTTTATTTAATCAACCAATGAAACTAAAATTAAAATGTTCACATTTTTACTAAATTTATATATTCGTAATTCTACCATAGTCATTCATACCGTCTATTTTCACTGTCATCAGCCTACTTATAGCTGTTAACAAATAACATGCACAGAACCTTATCGTATTTGTAATTTTTTTTCATAGTTTGTCTTAAGGAATAGATAATATGATCAATTGTTGGTCTTCGTTTTATTAAACCACTTTTGTTTTTCCATACAGTTGCATTCGTGTAATGTGTAATCCTTTTCAATAAGAGCGTTGAGATTATTGTATAGTATGTATTGACCAAGAAAATACCTTTGTAGTTTTTTAGGTTTAAATGTCTCTCTTTTTAAATAACTGGCATATTATTGATTTGTTACAGTATGCCGGTATTGTTTCTTTTTTTCAAATCGTTTTTTAGATTTCACTTCTAATTTCTCCTCTACCATTTTTTAAAAGCTCTGCAGCTATTTTGTATTCCCCTGGTGACTTGTTGTTTTTCAGTTAATATACAATGTTATTAATTTCCCGTTATGTGGGTTTGTAAATATACAACTTCACCGTGGTATGTTGCATATATGTTTCACTGGGTACATCAGTCGATGGCTCATTATTAAATAGGGTAAATTCTTCCACTGCCTACTGATTCTTCCGTTGTCACCAAATCAATCACTTGATGGGTTTTTTAACATCATAGTATGTGATTTACATTGTGGTCTGTGATGGCACTTGCGCTGTTGCTAACCAATTTTTTGGGTTAATTTTTATTCTTTTCAATGAAATTTTCTAGTATTTTTTTCCCCCTTCTTTTTAATATTTTTGTATAGCTCTATATTTAAGCAATTGGGGGTGTTTCATCTTTTTCTTTCGTGTAGTTTCTTTTTTTTATCGCTTCCTTGCATCCGCCGTTAAACCAATTCTCTTTTTTATAATTCAAAGTAATTTTTAGCGCTATCGACGACTGCGGTTTTTATTTTGTTCCATATCCGTTCAACATATCCTTCATTTATGTCCCTGTTATTTTTTTGTAGTTTTTTATGTGTTTTATAAATGCATTCTTCCAAAATTCTGAAAAATTCGACGGATTCTGATTATTTTTCTATCGACTATTTACAAGATAATACGGGGTTGCAGTACGAAGTGTTGGGCGACAAAAGTTATTCTAAGTTTCCGGCATTTCAACGCTTATACTAATTTAATAACGTTTGAGATTCAGGCCCATGAATTCAAATGAATGTTACGTGATTTCATCAAAATCAACAGGTCTTACGTTGATTACGACTCGCATAAACATCTTAAAATCGCCTTCGACACATTGTCTTCAGATATGTGGGATTTAAGTCGTTTGGGTGGTCACAGAAGACTGAAAAAACATCTCGAAACAAAATCAGTCAAACTTTGGGTCCCAGCGTTCAAGATATCTCGAATTTATAATTATATAATTAAATTTAATCAAAAAACATGTTTTATCTGTAAATAACTATTTACTAATGGCCTAAGATGCCGATGTAATTTTAAGATCAATAAAAAAAATTTAAAAAAAGAAGACTGAAAAAATCAGTTGATACGATTTGACGGATTTTGGACAACTGGAGTGGCCGATGCCGACGATGTTTGTAGGTATGGTAGTTTTATCGACCATATCGAAAACAATGAAGAAGATATTGCTAAGATAACGCAGAATCCAAGATGGACAGAAGTGTCCATCGTAAGAAGTTTAATATCAAATTTTAATAATTCTATTAACACTAATAAGGACACTGTACATAATAATGTGAATATTTTACAAAGTACTCTAAACGACCTGCAAAATAAAATTTCGGGTCTTAAAAATGTGGACAAATTAGTTGAAGTTATAGAGAGTAGCTTATTTATACTACAAAATAGTATAAACAAGTAAACAAATGCTATTATTTTGTCTCACAACAACCAGTCGCATCTAATAGTTATTAGACCCGAGTACAATGTTTTATTATTAATGATAGGTTAATATTTGAAATTAAATTACCCTTATGCAATATCGAAAATTACACTATGTACCATGTTTTACCAATATATATCCCTTTCAATAATAACAATCAATTAGCGCATCTAATTCAGTATAATAAATATTTAATTACCGATTTAAAAGTAGTTAGTATGCAGAAACTAGTGATTTGAAAAGTGTTTGTAAATTAACAAACAATTTTTTTATTTGCGAAACAGATAGTATAATAGACAGAATAAACCGAACTGTGAAATTGATCTACTAAATAATAATTTTAAAATACTTGTTATATGTACATCACAGAATTTATACCAGAGACGTGGTATATATCTTATTTTAATAACCACTGATATTTTGTTTGTAGTCAGCCTACATTATTAACAATAATTTGCAAAAAATATAGTTTTAATAAAACACTTATTATAGACAATTCTGGCAAGTTGTGGTTAGATAAAAACTGCATGACCTCTATACCAAATAGTAGTTTAAAACCAGTAAGTTTGTATACCTCTGATTACAAATCTCTACCTATAGCAATTTCCCTGCTAAAAGATAAATGTTGTTCTAAAATCAAAAACAAAACAATTCCTAAGCCCATTAATTTACAAGATCTAAAAATATAAAAATAAATCAACACTCTTTACATAAATTAAATTTAAAGTTAGACGAGGAAGAAAAATTAGCTTCAAAGTTGTATGATAATACATAGAAATATTTAATTGATAATGCATCAGATTTTTCTTTTCGCGACTATTTTTTTTTATACTAATAATCATTGTTTTAATACATATTATAGTATACTATAAGTATTGTGCAAATAAAAAGCCAATTTAAAATGTTCATACTTCAGGATTAGAATTAGATAGATGCGATCCTTTGGATAATAATCCCTTTAAATTATGCACCTGACAATTTTATGAAAGAAAAATAATGTTATACACCTTACCTTGAAACTAATTATACATTTTTTATATATTTATATATCAATACATATTATTATGCACCTATAAATGTAAAAAAATTTTTTT